CGGCAGTCAGCTAGCTCGCCCGTCAGAAGAAAAGCCCAAACATGTTTGCATCCAGCTTTCGAGATCCAAGGTAGTGCTACCAGGCGGTAGGTAGGCCGCGGGAACGCCTGGGCAAGTCAGGGTGCACGGAAATATGTCTGCCGTTGGCACAGGATGCAACCTAGCCCTGCGTGATACGCGCTGCTCAAGTGGATCATGCCACTTTAACGCTTGCGCCCAGTATCTTGGCCTCAATCCCGCATCGCATCTAGCAGAGCAAAGCTGTACCTCGGTCCTCATTCATCCGTAGACAAGGGTAGCGAAGGGAGGCATGCTATTACAGTGTTCATCCGTCCAACTTGATAACCTGGCTCGGTTGACGGGATGAGAAAGCGCAGACGACGGAACCGTACACACCAGGCCCTTGGTATTCAGGATCAACGTTCCGCGCCACGCCACTGACTGCGAAAAAAAAAACATACTTGTGTCGAGAATGGTTCAGTAGCCAGGCAACCACAATCAACAGCGATGCGCATGACGATTCCGAATGCAAAGTCCCCCGTGAACGTCAAATCAACACGTCACGGCGTCAGCGAACTACAAGCAGGCTGTGGGATTCTGATGGCTCATCTACTTATTTCAATCTCCATGCACATACTACATGCATGCGACACCCGAACAAGTGATTTGCAGCCGTGATGGAGGGCATCGCCACATCCAGAATATGCAGTCACGCATAAGTGTGCCTCTGATGCCGGAAGTGTACATCTCCAGGATCCAGAATGCCCCAACATGATGGTCACCGTGATAAACGCTGCATGTGTAGGCGTTGTGCACTGGAGGTGGCCCGAAACCTTGACGGGCAGCTATGACCCAGATAGGCGTCACACGGCAGGCTTGAATCGAGGGTCTCCTAAAGTATCAATAGAAAGCCCACGACGGCCGTGCTTGACAATCGACCAAATGCTTCTAGATGCTGAGAAGACCAAGACTGTTGGGTTATGCGCACCAAACACGAGCGACGCGCTCCAGGCGGTCGGCGTTTAATTCGAATCTTCCAACAACCGCCAGCATCCTAAGATTGCCTCCGTCATGACTCGCATTTCACAAGCTTACATGTAGCAAGCAAAGAAGCGTATGCTCATGCACATAGATGGTAAACATTATCATCCACCATGTGTTCAGCTAGTAGCTACATAGCTCATTCCTACCCGTATGTAAGGAAATGTACTCGGAGATGACAGTGCCTGGTCAGGCCGTTCTCATCCAAGAAGAGATAACAATAGGTACGCACGTAACGTTCCATCGTTGCAGCCGTGGAAACTGGGTGACGAACGACGGGAAGACGATAGGTAAATCACATGCCTACGCTTATGTAACGCCAGCTGGGAGAAATCATGATCACATGACATCATCAAGGAACGACAAGGCTGGCATCGGCTTACGCTGACTGATCCAACGCACTCCATTTCCCATAACTTTTACGCACTGCATTCTGCTTGGAGGACGACTTCACGAAGCTGATTCGCTGTTGCCCCGCCTCTACCCCTCTACGACCCCTCTGCCCCTCCATTGCGTAGTGCCTTATAGCAAGCTTCCTAAATGATTCCACGGCGGTTCCAGCAGTCCACTTGTCGTCCGAGGCTCGCTGTTATCTCTGCTTCACCTTTACGGACTCGGATCAGCCATCCGATCGCACTTCACTGTGTCTCAATCTCGAAACCTAGACCACCCTCGGTGCGGGCACCCTTCTCGACCACAACACAGCGGTGCCAGTTTACACCATCGATAAGGACTGCCAATATGTCGGACTACGAAACCATCCTCAAGGGCAAGTACCCTGCCAAAGACCACGCGAAGCGTGTTGCGGACTACATCCGTTCCAAGGTCCCTAGTGCCAATGGCATTCTCTACCTCGAAGGCCGACACACAAAGTTGGAGGAGGACAGCGACCATCCGGAACCCTTCAGGTATGCATGTTCACGCACTTGATTCTCCGTCCAACACGGTTGCTGAGTAGGATATCAGGCAGCGCCGTTACTTCTTCTACCTTACCGGCTGTATCCTAGCCGACTGCCACTATATCTTCGACCTAAAGACCTCGCAATCGACACTCTTCATCCCTCCCGTCGACCCTGAAGATGTCATCTGGTCCGGCATGCCCATGACCGCGGAGGAAGCCAAAGAGAAGTACGACATCGACAATGTATTATACACCAACGATGTCAACGCAGAGCTCGCGAGGCTGGGGAAAGGCTCGGGTTCAACTGCCTTTGCCATCGCCAACCAGGTTCTGGACACTGTGAGCTTCATCGGATTCGAACACAAGAACTTTGATGTGCTCAAAGGAGCCATCGAGGAATGCAGGGTGGTCAAGGATGATTACGAGGTCGCCCTGACGAGGAAAGCCAACGTCATCTCTACTACGGCTCATCACGCCGTGATGAAGGCCGTCAACAAGGCCAAGAATGAGCAGGAACTTGAGGCGATTTTCCTGGAGAGATGTTTCGCCCATGGAGCCAAGAACCAGGCCTACCATGCCATTCATGCCGCCGGTCGCGCTGCAGCCACTCTTCACTACGTCCACAACAGTGCGCCCCTTGAGGGCAAACTGAACGTTCTGCTTGATGGTGGTGCCGAATGGGACTGCTATGCCTCGGACATTGTGAGGACTGTATATGCGTAACTGCCGAATGTCGAACTAACTACCGTCACAGACTCGCACCTTCCCCATCTCTGGTAAATTCTCCAAAGAGTCACGCGCCATATACGACATTGTTTTAAAGATGCAGCTCGAGTCCATCAAGGTGCTCAAGGAGGGTATCCTTTGGGACGACGTCCATGAACTGGCCCATAAGATCGCGATTGAGGGTCTGCTAGATCTGGGTATTCTCAAGGGTGAAGTGGATGAGATCCTCAAGGCGCGCACCAGTGTGGCCTTCTTCCCCCATGGCCTAGGACATTACCTCGGCATGGACACCCACGACGTCGGCGGAACTCCCAACTACGCTGACTCGGATCCCATGTTCCGGTATCTTCGTAAGAGGGGCACCTTGCCAGCTGGCAGTCTCGTCACTGTCGAGCCGGGCATCTACTTCTGCAGCTTCATCATTGAGCCCTACCTGAAGGACCCTACCCATTCCAAGTACATTGATACCGACGTACTCGATAAGTACTGGGACGTTGGTGGTGTGAGGTAAGCGTTGACATGCTGTCTCGTCTGATCCAATATGCTAACGCGCTCCTGAAGAATTGAGGACAATCTCCTCATCACCAAGACTGGCAGTGAAAACCTGACGCCAACGATCAAAGACCCAGAGGAAATTGAAAAGTTTGTTGGCTCGAGTTAGTCTAAGACGTATACCCATGACTTTTTGTCATCGACGTGGAATGCCTCGTAAAGGCCCTCCTGCAATTGAACATAGGTGACACATGCTTGCTCGGGCGGATTAAGACATCATTTTGTCCCTTGGCTTGGCTGGCATCTACGTGTAAATGAAGAGACTGCGTAGGGTCCAATACAATCGGTGAATACACCCTCACCTGCTTCTTTAATTGATATGTGAGACGTAGGTAGCAAGCCGTGGCGCTCGTCGCAAAGGCAGCGGCCACCGTCCCAGAATGACTGGAACGGACGGGAAGACCTGGAGCGGAGGCGGGAACGCTGACTGAGCCACCTGCCTGCCCATCGCCTGAATTTCTCCCACTGCAAACGCACTGCAGACGCCCAATACCTCTGAAAGCCTTGGACAGTCTCGTCATCATCTGAACTCGCAAGTCCTCCAGTCTGATGATCCATCTTAGCATTGGCATTAACATAGCTGGTCGCGGCCTGTCCAAATCTTACCTTGACCCCCCATCCCTGTTTTCCTCACCAGTGCCAACTGCAATGGCCCCCAAGTATTTCATCCCACTCGAGTCGAATCCAGACGTCTTCAATGCACTCATAACCTGCCTTGGGGTCTCACCGAATTTGCGTTTCCAGGATGTCTGGACGCTTGAAGACACGAACGAGTTGCTCTCTATTCCCGTGCTAGCCCTTGTGCTTGTGTTTCCCACGACGCCAGCGTACGATGCCCGGGCGCAGACCGACGATGCCGATGCCGACGACTGGATGGTGACGCACCAAGAGGATGACGAAGATGCTTTGTGGTTCAAGCAGACAATCCATAACGCGTGTGGGTTGTATGCGATTTTGCATGCGCTCGCCAACGGCCGTGCGAAAGATTTCATCCGTCAGTTTTTACCTCATCGATGGTTTCTCATTCATTTTCAACATGCGTCGCGTAATCACTGACTCTCCTATAGAGCCTGGCTCGGTGCTCGATACACTTTTCTCTATCACTGCTCCTATGAATCCTGCGCAGGCCGCCATGGTCCTCGAGACATCTAAAGAACTCGAGGCCGCATATGACAGCGTCGCCAAGCAGGGAAGCACCGTAGCGCCGCCTGCAGAAGACGAAGTCAATCATCACTACATATGCTTCGTCAAGTCACCCGACACGGGGCACCTATTCGAACTTGACGGCGACCGGAAGGGCCCTGTTGACAGAGGTGTCATCGATGAGGACCAGCGTGTTGATCTGGGACCCAAGTCACTGGAACTCGTTAGAGAGTACATCAAGATGGGTGAGGGTGATGCCAACTTTTCCTTGATGGCCTTGGTCGAGAATACAAGCTAGACGGCTTTTGTACGTTGCCTCTCGACAGTTTCACATCGCCACACCATGTTCACAATCAATACTCTTGTACTCAGTGATTTTTGACATGGATTGCTATGAGGGCCAGCGACATAGAAGAACTGTTCCCTCCCCATGCCTGTGGTTCCTCTGACGTGAGTAGACTGCGATCCCAGACAATCAGCATCGCTCGCCATTCCTAAGGCATAGACAACACTTGGCAATACCGTCCATACTTATCCCCTCGCCTCCCAAGACCATCAATAACAGATCTTCAATAAAGTCCAATGTGAAGGCCGAAAGCCGTAGGATTCGGGTCGAGAGCCCAGGAAGCGTGATGGATCAAATGTCAGTCGCATCAGTGCCAGAGCACGAACCAGTAATGTCTTGACCAAGGTTTTGGCCATTAACCACTGCATTGATTGCAGTCTGGTCGTCGAAGATAGACTGACAATCGGAATCGAAATTGTCAGATTCCAAGCCTGTGCTCTGATAGTCAACTTCGAAGGCACCGAGAGAAGATTTCTCCATGACTTCATCATTGCCATCGTCGCCAGGATCCTCGTTCTCAGTCGAGGCCCGCACAGGGACAGGACTTGTGACAGAAAACCCCCGTTCGGATGACTTGAGAGGACGGAGAGTCTCCTGGCGTTGAGGAATAGGAATGGACAGCTTGGTACTCGAAAAAGAATATGATGCTTTCTTAAGTTTTGCGTCGAGTCGCTGAATGCACGGGCGCTCATGAGTCTCCTCATACGGCAGTGTTTTTGATTTCAGACGTGATAAACCTTTCTCCTGGGCAGTCTTAGTGGTGGTAGTGAAAAAACGGCTATGCTTTACAGTGGACTTGATCCACGGGTTTGTTGAGTTAGGTTGTTCCTCGAAATAAGAAGTCCTGTGTTGACGACGAGTGATGTGCGTCCCAACGAGGACTGCCCAAGGGCTGTCCATGCAGGCTATAAGACTGAGATTGTACCCGCCCTCAGGAAGACAGAAAGGGCTTTGAAATGTATCTGCAGTGTGCAGTGTATTCTGCTGCTGAATCGTGGCTTGGGCCATGATGTATTATGTCTTGGTAGTGAAGATATGCCTTCAAGTGTACAAAATAGGAGGTGCTTTCGTGCCCGAAAGTTCACTGTTGGACTGATGCTGCTTTGGACTGTCCAGTTGTGATGTCAATGTGTTGCGTACCATGGAACAAAAGGTCTGGGAGAGCAGGTGGCTCTTCTTATATGATTTCTGGTTAGCCATCTCCGATCCCAGCCCATGGTAAACAAACCTACTCCAGATCTCGAAAGTCAAACTGACATACCCTTGTGGGCTCAATGAATCACAATGACTTTGGGTTTCTCATAGTACCTGTTTGCTTCCAGTGCTATTATGGGCGAGGAAGAAGTGGGTGTGGCTGGCATCTTGGGGTTGACGGCTTTGCCATCATCTGTAACGTTGGGTCTTGGAAATCGTAACATTGCTGGGGATGCTTCACCGATCAGCGATGTCACAATTTCCAAACCCCGACATTACGATAGAGATGAAATTAGGTCTTTGGTATCACGCTGAGCGGCAGATGAAAAAAGTTCGAGTGCCAAGTCTTTTGGTAAGCTATCCAACCAAGGATGACTTGCATGCGTGCCTAAAACCCTGATGTACGGTGATGCCCAGATAAGGTATCTGGCGATGGCGATGGGAGCTGTAGTCTCTGCACGCGTGCGTGCCTGAATTGACAACCTCTACAGCTGATGCACCGCATTTTAGCCGACGACAAGCGGGGCGCGCCATTGGGACCGGAAGCGTGCTAGTCGCGGATGTACTAGCACCCTCGTGCATGAGCTCCAGAAAAATATTCAACACATTGGACCAGGCAGTCCTGGACCGAAAGCAACACCACGCATCACTCATGCGAGGCACAAGCTGCTTGCTGCGAAGATTATGGCTTCCGAAGCAAACCCTTCGTCAGAGTCTGCCGCTGCGGCGCCCGCGGTCGACACCACCATGGATGGCGGCTCGAATGGGACCGATTCTGCGCCTCGCGCAGCGCAACCTACCACAGGTGAGACTGGGTCACCTGCGGCGGCGGAAGGAGGCGCCAGAGGCCAGGAACGTGGTAATGATAAGAAGCAACAGCAGCAAGGCAAGAAGAACAAGCAGGGCGGTCGTAACGAATGGCGGTAGGCCTGTTTCCCTGGTCCTTCGCGCTACCACGCCTTGAATAGCTCAAACTGACCTGGTCCAGGCGCCAGATGAACGACAAGCGCAAGCAGCTGGGCGATGCCAGACAGGCCAAGCGACGCAAACTCGACGAGAATGGCAACGCAATTGACGCAGACAATGAAATCCAGGAGGCTGTTGTGGTCGATCCTCGAAAGGCGAACCCTTTCTCGATCTCCGAAATCGCGGCTGAAGAGCGACGCCCGAAGCGCAAGGTTGCTGTCATGGTCGGCTACTCAGGGACCGGGTACTACGGCCTGCAGATCAACTGGGACGAGAAAACGATCGAGGGGGACTTGTTTAAGGCCTTCATTACTGCAGGTGCCATCTCCAAAGCAAACGCAGATGATCCCAAGAAGTCGAGTCTTTCGCGCTGCGCGAGGACTGACAAGGGCGTGCATGCCGCTGGCAACCTGATCAGTCTCAAGCTCATCATCGAAGACGACGACATTGTCGATAAGATCAACGCACATCTACCCGACCAGATCCGAGTCTGGGGCCTCCAGCGAACGAGCAATTCTTTTAGCGCCTACCAGGCCTGTGACTCTCGATGGTACGAATACCTACTGCCGACATACTGCCTACTTCCCTCCCACCCCGACAGCTTCTTGTGGAAGAAACTCGTCGAGTCCGCACAAGAGAAGGGATACTACGATGACTTCCAGTCCAAATTAGCCGATATGGATGGCTTCTGGGCCGAGGTCGAGGAGAAGGCGATCAAGCCTATCCTGGAACAATTAGAACCCCAAGTCAGGGCTGAGGTTTTAGAAAGAATCCACGCATCAGAGGACCACCCTGAGTCTGCACTCAAGAAGTCGGCGCTCAATGATGCCATGCAAGTGGTCCCTCCTGCTACCGCCGTCACGGGCGAGGCGACGAGCGCCGAAGATACAAGCACCATAGCAACCACGGGCAAGACGAAGAATCTTGGCCCCGTGGACTTTGCCCTACGAGACATGAAGAACGCCTACGTCAAAGCGAAGAGGGCGTACCAAGTGACACCTGAGCGTCTCGACCAGCTGCAAGCGGCTCTCGATCAATATGTTGGCACCTATAACTTTCACAACTACACGATTCAGAAGAGCTTCAAGGATCCCTCCGCTAAACGCCATATCAAGTCTTTCCAAGTCAATAAGACACCGATCCAGATCCGTGATACGCAGTGGGTGTCCATCAAGGTCCACGGGCAGAGCTTCATGATGCACCAAATCCGCAAGATGATCAGCATGGCGACCCTCGTCGTTCGTTGCGCCACGCCTTTGACGCGGATCAAGGAGAGCTACGGCGAAGATAGAATCGCGATCCCCAAGGCGCCCGGTCTTGGCCTGCTATTGGAGAGGCCCGTTTTCGAAGGCTATAGCCGCAAGGCGGTTGACTCGCTGGGCCGGGAACCCATTGACTTCACCAAACACGACGATAAGATCCAGGCTTTCAAGGACAAGGAGATCTATCAGCGTATCTTCGAGGTTGAGGAGAAAGAAAACATGTGAGTGGCGTCGCGAAGTGCGTTATTGACATGTCCACTGACAAGAACCCAGCTTCCATACGTTCTTCCAGCAAGTCGACAACTTCAAGTCCGACTACTTCCTCTGGTTGACCGCTGGCGGCATTCAAGCAGGCGCGATCAGGGCGTCCAAACCTTTCAGCAAGGATGACAAGGCATCCAATGTTGCGCTAGTAGATGACGAGGATGAGGATCCCGAGGGCGGCGAAGGCTAAACATAGAGGTCAAGTATAGAAGTCAAAACTGTTGCATGCCAATTATCAAATGAATCTGAGTCGCCTTGCAGCGCCATGTAAAGCCAAATGTACCATAATTATGTTGCCGTTGGGTATCAACGCCAAAACGCCGTTCGATGGTCTCTCGGTCGCGGCCGCCCCGCATGGACAGGATTGTACTCTTTCAAGATGTTCGGTCGATTATTATGGCGCAGGCATCGGCGTTGGTGCCGCACCAGTGCCTGTGCCTGGGCCAGGAGTCGGTGCAATTTGCGTCAGCGGAGCTTCGGTAACTTCGTTCCTTGAGTTCGCCGCACTCATGAACGCCCAAACGCCCCCGTTCTCCTCCGCTAGCTTGGTGTACCGGTTACCCTGGATGGAATTGACGAGCTCAGCGACACGTACGACATCCTGGTCCAGCTTTTCGGCTTGAGCTTTAGCCAGTTCATCCTCATCGCCCAGGCGGCCAAAAAGCCACAGTTCCTTCAGGCGACGGCTCAAGGCGAGGAGCTCTTTCACCGAACTGTTCTGTAATGACGGTCAGACTGGGTTTCTGGCGCAGAAATCAGGAGAGCAGCTTACAAGACCCTCAAATTCCATCTGCATCGACATGCCAGTGACGGCGATGGTCTGCGGGTCAACATTCTGGGTCGATGCCTCCGCCTGAATGGTTGCTAACATGGTGAGTGTACGAAAGCGGGCGACAATGTCAGCCGTGAGTCGATTGTGAGTGTCGAGAAGGTTTGCATTATCCTGGTTGCGATCCATTTCAAGCGGCCGATGTCGTCTCTGAGTTTGTGTTGTCGAATGTAGTTGACGCGATGGGCGATGTTCGTCCAATGAAGGAAATGAGTGAAGGGTTATGAATGAGGTTTGCGGGCACTCGCGCCCAGGCTACTTTTTGGGCTCGGTGAGACAGGTGAAGTCGGTGAAGCACCACCTTGTGGAGCCAGTCACCCAATTTGTCCTGTACATCAGGGTGCCATGAACCCTCTCTCGGTCCATTACTTACACCAATTTTTCATGGGCCAGGCTACGGGCAAATAACCAACCGGGACGGTATTTAGCCTCTGGTTGTGCCGCTTCAGGTAGCTTTCAGGCGGCGACACAGATAACTTACTCGAGTTTCTAACTCCACTACTCACAACACTGGATGCTCTGCATCGACGCCTTCTTGGCAAGTTGGGCTCCAAATTCATGCACGTCTGAGGTGTCTGAACCCCGCCCAGTGCATGTCGGGAGTCGTGACTCATTATCGAGTAACTACCCCGCCATCATCGATAAGATAGCGCTCCCCAAGAGGAACAATTATTTTTTGACTTGCCCCTCACCAACCCTTGACGCCGAGAGACCACCAATTTCGCCTCTTTGAAGTAGGCAATTTCAGTTACCATGGCGTCCATTCATCCCACAGCCCCTTCGCACGAGCCCGTCGTCTCCCAACACGAACCGACAGCACCGCAAACCCAAGCTCCGAATGGAGCAAGCCTTGCTGATGAAGAAGACGACGATGGAGACATGAACGACATCTTCCAAGACGATGATGACGTCGACGACCACGACTGGAATGATGGAACGGGCGACGTGACAAAGTCCTACAACCGTCAGCGCATGTTCAACGGGCCCGGTGATGCCGCGGCATCTCGATCGAACGCTCAGAGGCCCGCCGCCAACACATTCGCCAGCGTCGACGATCAAGTCGCCGCTCTCTCGAAGCACGCCGCCAAGATTCGACTCGACAGTGTCAAGGCCGACGATGACCGAACAAAAGATAAGGCGGACCGCGCCACGACTGAGCAGGTTCTTGACCAGCGGACGCGCATGATTCTATTACAGATGATCAATCGCGGCGTCGTTAGCGAGGTCCACGGCACCATCAGCACCGGCAAGGAAGCCAACGTTTACCATGCCGTGCTGCACCCGGACGATGGGCCGACACTGCAGCGCGCGATCAAGGTGTACAAGACGTCCATCATGGTGTTCAAGGATCGTGAGCGGTACATTGCTGGCGAGCATCGATTCCAGAAGGGTTTCGACAAGAGCAGTAACCGTAGCATCGTGAAACTATGGGCCGAGAAAGAGTTTAGGAACATGAGGAGGATACACGCTGCTGGTATTCCGTGCCCCGAGCC